CTATCTACTTAAATTTTCACATTGAAAGTAAAACTCGTAGATCTGGAAAATTAATCTAAAATAATAATAATTAATAAAGTAAAAAATAATAAAATTCACTAAATATGAAATGTATTTCACCTGGTTTTTTTAATCCGAAGCCAACTTATACGGCGGCGCGTTTTCCGTTTTGTTGCATAATTCAGGCAATATAATCAATATCAACTTGACCGGTGAGAAGGGCAACAACATACTTACGATTTACACTTTTTTTAAACAGAGACAAAACATTTTTATGTTTTCTTTTCTTACTCGCACGCGGTGGTTAATTGAAGTTTCGCATTATATATTCGTCATATAATGAGAGGACTGACATAATTATAATTTACCGTTCGCAGTGTCATTGACAACGGTTCCTGTAATGGTCTAGTATATTTTTTTCAATAAAAAACAGTTTGTGAATGAGCCAGGTGTGCCTTCAATGTTAAGTGATTAATCTCAAAAACAGCTTGGCAGCTTTTCCTTTCGATTTGATCTTTGTGAAGATTTATTTGAAATGCCTTGTTCTTGAACAAATAAAATACCTACAGCCTACGCTGCCACTATTTAGCTTTTCGTTACTGGAAATCTTTTAAAATTGGAGTTCCAAACTATAAGTGGTAATCCATTATGGCATATCTTTCTATACTCTGGCTCTCTAAGGAAGTTTAACCTTTTTTAGTTTAGGCAAGTGGTTCTTTCAGTCGAAATTTTTATTATACCAAATAAAACGAGTCAAGGCTGCATTTTTTAAGGTATACTGGAAGCCCGGCATTTGTTTATCATTAGACACTATGATATTTTATACAAACGCGAGGTAAATATAACAAAAATAAATAATAAATAACGCACAAAAATAAATAAATAACGCACCGAAAAAGCAGTACTCAAATTACACCAATTGGTATAATTTGATTGCAGTGTGTACACTTCTACCTCTTTCCGTAACATACATTCTATATCATCTGGCACATATATGTCATATATTGTTTAAATTTCTTTTACTGAGTGGGCAGCACAAGTATAAGAATCTTTTTAGGTGGACGAACATGATGAACAGCGTTAGTGTCGATCAGTCAGTCGTCAGTCAATATCAGTCTGGTTTTTGAAAAAACATGTCCTGATAGGATAACGTTACTCCGTTGTATGGGCATCATACATAAATTTTACATGGACAAACACGAGGTAAGGGCGTCATACAATACTGACAAACATCCAGATCTGGAATACAAACATATACTTGTCCCGTGTGATAATCGGACTAGCTGCCCGCGGCGTCCAAGTCCATAGCGATTTCGCTTTAGATAGGAAAAACCCTTTAGTGAGCCCCCTGCGCCGGAAAGGCAGCGGAGGGATATCTGGGAATTCCAAACAGAACGGGTTGCCAACTAAAAACCCACGATGCACCAGTCCCTGACGCATCGGCATAGATTTTATTACGTGATAAAAACTTTTATGGATTCCCCGCCGGAATAAACGGATCTGCACAGCGTCTGTCTGGAACACGGGAACACGAAAACGCAAAACCGGCGCGTCTATGGCCTTCTCTCCTTGGTCGCTATGACACTCCGTTCAACAAAATGTTGTGTGTTGTGTGTGCAGTTAACACCCCTGAGCAGTGGCGGATTTGTAGTCTTTGCCACCCTAGGCCCCAGCCCATCTAGTAAGTTCCAGCCTCCCCTTTCTCAGAGCCCATCATATATCTTGTTATCCTCAGTGAATTTTTGTCAAGATTGGCCGCCCCCGAATATGTGGCCGCCCCAGGCCCGGGCCTGTTGGGCCTTAGGGCAAATCCACCACTGCCCCTGAGTTTTTTTTTATGTCGGTTACTGTTTGCGCACAAACAGTAACCGACAGCGTCATATAATTGCGGGGAAAAACCCCCGCTGAATTCATCTGTTAAAGTCGCAAGCAGTGGTTATTTTTTTTAACCATCTACCTGCCAACGCTCCACAAAGAGTGATATGGTTTTTGCACGAGTGTTTTATACATTTTAAGTCGAGTCGTCATACGTAAATGATCGGAGGCGGTGATTTTCCGTTTAATTAAATTACGTGATTCGAGATATCGACAATGGTGACGTTAATGATGCGAAAATAAGCATTAATCGTTAATCGCTAATTAAGCTTATCCAAGTAGTAAAAAAAACTAGCTCATAATATTCACATATTACTACTGTCTTAGTTTACGTATTTACATTTTAAAAGCGACTTTCGCACTTTGGACTAATTCCAGTTTCACGAAAATAAAACACGGACACAAAGTAAACCCCGAACCGGAATAACTATTTGTTAATTCCCTCTTTGTTCCATTGTAATTTTTTGTAGTTGTTTGTAAGAATCGAACCCACTACACGACTAGCAACGCCAGTTGCTGAATCGGCTATTTAAGCCAATGAGCCATTCATGCAGTATTACTTTTAATGAAGGTAAAATTTGTCACTCTTTACTATTGAACTAAAGTTCCGAATTAGTACGCTGAAGTGAAAATGGGCTGGCCATGTCTCCAGACGTACTGGTGGTCGCTGGGGCCGACACGTGTTAGGAAGACACCATGGTTGAGCAAACGTAGTGTGGGACGGCAGCACGATGGGTTACCGACTTAAGAAAGGTGGCGGGCGGCGGATGAATTCAGTATCGCCCGGGAAGGGGATAGTTAGCGCACCTTGCAGAGGCTTACTTTCAGCACATGACGACCATAGACTGATATTATTGTTGTTGTTTATTGTTAATTTTTCCTTTTCAACCGTCTTCAAAAAAGTAAGAGGTTCTCAATTCAACTGTATTTTTTTTATGTTTGTTACCTGGACAATTCGACCGAGTGACGCGGTTTTGATGATTCTTTTTTTATTTTAAAGAAAAGCGCCAGTCCCATATTAATTTCATTGGTATTGGATCTGTGTCCGTAGAATGATACTTGCGGAACTGCTGAAAATCAATTGTAAAATGAATACAGAGCGAGATATTTGAAGTCGATTATGTTGTAAGATAAGTTGGCGACCGTGGTTATCGACCTTATATATCGAATACACCAGCGGGGTTGCAATTGGGTGGTCACCTCGTAACCGAGTGTGGTTACCTCACGCATAGGGAGGAACTATCTGTGCAAAAGCTCACTGTGATGGCTGACCGTATAGTTAATTCGTAAATAATTCTTAACTTACGCCCCACTTCGGCGTTGCACGGGTACATATAAACCTTCCTCTTGAATCACTTTATCTATTAAAAAAACCGCATCAAGTTCCGTTCCGTAGTTTTAAAGATCTGAGCATACATAGGGACAGACAGACAGCGGAACGACTTTGTTTTCAACTATGTAGTGAAGCTTAGCAAGTAACCGGTAAAAAAATCTAATAGAGATTATGCACATGGGAACTCGGTGTACCGCTGAGACGTTAACTTACGGTAGTAGCACTGTTACCAACAAAGCATTTCAATTCAAGGGCCGGCTACCGTTATGTAGAGGCCGGTTTTGGTGAAGTAATTAAATCTTAACTGTGGTAGGGCCACGCAACAGTCTTCGCTGTTGCACGAATGTGCAGGCATTAATTAAAAGGTAGCAACGCATCTGCAACCATACGGGAGTTTTAAATGTCCGTGGGCGGCGGTTATCACTTAACATATTTTTCGTTAATCATAAATTAAACCCCTTAATCTAGGATACATAAATTATGTGTTATAGAGACATTTTTGAAGCATAATGTATACAGACATCCACTCAGATTTAGGGCGATTGTCCGTAATTCATGTAAATATTTGTGGCGAGTGAGAATCGTATCCACGACCCGCTGATCAAACGCTACGTCTTATTATCTGGTCTAGCCTTAGTACTAAAAAGATAAATGTCACTGAACACGTTGTGTTTATAGAAATAGTTGCTTCTAAAAACTACATATGGTAAGGGCCTTGTGTCTAAGGAATAAAATTTAAATTTCAGTCTATGCAGTAGTATTTTCCGTGATGCGTTCGCACCGGTAGACCTCTATCGATAATAGTATGTATATAGATACAAATACGTTGTTAAGCTACAATGGTATATTAGACGCACAATTATAAATTAGAATTAAACACATTCCAATACGTGAAAATGATAATTCTTTTTCCCTATTTTTTTACGAGCAAACTTTGTGCGTATCATTTTTTAGAATTAAATTGATATTTTATTACGAAGGAAGTCATCATCAAAAATCATCAATGCCAAAGAATTCTGCCGAAGCTCTTCGAAACCTTGGAAATTACTATTCGTTCTTTCACGTAATCTTTCCTGTGTTAATGAATATGGTTTTACTTATAACTATTTTTTCAATTCAGCGAACATAAGACACGAAGTGAAACTATTTTACTATTACCAGTCTCTAAAACATGAACGCTGTAAACTAACAAGTTAAAAAAGGGGCAAAAGCGTTTTAGCGAACATTAATGAAGTAACACCTATAAACATAAAGATCGAGAGTCTATCGAAATAGTAATATAATTATTATATACATATAAAATTGTGGAAGACAATTAACAATTGCACAGTATGTACTATATTTTTTTTATGTAGTTTACAAAACTGACAAGAAAATTATTGAAATATAAATGTTCTATATATATTAAGAATTTTCATCTGCGATATTCGTCATTGAATTTAATGTAAATTATAATATGCAATACTAACTAATTTTATTTATCTTTTTCTTATTAATTTATTATATTCTTCACCGGAGGTTCAATATGAACATCGAAATATAATCATATATTGAATATAATCGTACCGAATTTTATTGTTTAATTAAAACGAACGACCAATGTAAATTAACAAATTAAAAAAAAATTATGGATGCACCGCTAAGTTTTTACAAACTTAATTTTATTTATTTAGTGTCCACAGAGTATTAAGAGACCGAAGGTTTCAAAGGCGCTTTCAGCTTCAAATTGATACGAAGATTCAGCTTAAATTGATTGAGGAGTCGAATGTATTCCACGTAAAAAATCACTTACCGTTCAATTGGCACGCACTCCCCGTCGCCGATAGAACGAGCACTAGCCACAACACACCCATCAGGCAACTCGCATTAAGTGCTAAGGACCAAACACCTAGACACCAAATGGGCAGCCTAGCCGCCAACCGCACAATATATACGTTAAATTAAAACTCGCGCGAAAACTAGTCTCCGCTCACGCGTGGAACGCGACGCAAACAACGCGCCTCGCCGCCCGACTTTGTCCGCGTGTACTCCGAAGACTGCATATCAGGGTTAAGGTCTCCATTCCGTTTGGATTTAAATGGCGCCGATTGTTTCTCAACCGACTTCAAAGAAGGAGGAGTTCTCAGTTCGACTGTATTTTTTTATTTTTATTTTTGTTACTTTCGACTGGGTGTACCGTACCGATTTTGATGATTCTTTTTTTATTTGAATGCTGGTGCTTCCCATGTGGTCCCATATTGATTTCATTGGTGGATCATGAGCCCCGGAGATACTTGGGGAACTCCTGAAAATCAGTTATAAAATTAATACAGATAGTAGTACATAATTAATACTTGAAGTCTGTTTTGTTTTTCGTTAATAATTTCTACGGTGTTCAGTGTCACTGAATTTATATGAAGATAGTTTAATAGAAGCTCTAATCTGCTGGACCAAAGTAAAATCATTGATACACGACTATTAAGTGAATTAACATATTGTGATTTTTGTGCTAGTTATCTTACTTAAGGGGAAACTCATACAATACAATAGCAGCCTATCGCTTTTCACAGCTGAACGTAAGCCTCCCCTTAAGTGCGCCAACTATCCGGGTCTTGGTCAGCCTGCATTCATCCACTGCTTTTTCACTTATAATAAAAATTAAACTTATAATAATAATTTCTTACTTAAAAGTTATAATGTGTAATAATCGCTTCCAGGTTTGGAACCCGCTCCGTCAAAGCTCACCTAATTTTTGTTTGGTTTAAAGAAGATTCACGTCCTCTCTCTCGGGAGGTGACCTACGCAGTGACAACTAATATAATACATCATCTCTGTATATAGGTACTGGCAGACACATAAACTGCATCAATTTAAATTAAAGACTACAAACTGGTTCATCATCTTTAAAACAGCGTAGTATCCCGCGGGTGGTAAAAACCCCTAGATCATAGGCGCAGGATTTCTTGAAATGTCAACGCACTTGCAACCCTCGGGTGTAGCAGATGTCCACGGGCGGCGGTATTCACTTGACATCAGGTGAACCGCCTGTTCGCTTGGCAACTTTTCACATAAAAAAAAAAACTTGTGACAGCGGCGTGCAATTGTCTTGCACTAGAATAAAATTTTGGCCCGTGAACCCGATTAATGGCACTTGTGCCAATGATGTTTTAATAAAAGATGACGCATGTCCATACTGCGCGGCGTTTAAAAATTGTTCCGCTTTACAATATAAGACATATATACGTGAATTTGAAAGATGATATAGAACGTATGAGACGGAAAGTGATAGCAGTCTATAGAATTGCAATCTAATTACACTAATTGGCGTCATTTGAGTGCCACAGTTTCCGTGCGCTACTATCATATGGTCATTTTTGTATATAATATCATTGGCGACAACTGCAAAATCATTTTTAATGTCCATTCTTACTTATGTATGGATGGATGTTCGTTACTCTTTCACTCAAATACTACTAAATGGATTTTAATGAGACTTTACAATAATATAGCTTATACACAGAATAAGACAGGCTATAATTTATATACATATTTTTTATGTATATCTGTCTTTGTGTCTGAATGTTACGCTTTCTGCCTATTCTACGAAGAAGTAGTTGCGGGCAGCAGCTAGTTAATAATATACAAGAGCGTAGTGCGTGGTGTAAATGTTAAGTTCACGGACAGTAAAAAGAAGGCCGAAGGAAGATGGTATCAACCCTTTACTTCCCTTTTTTTCTTCTGATTCACTTTACAAATATAAACATTTAAGTGTTACTAAAACTTTAGTGTGGTAATGGATGTTTATAATATTTACGTACTTTGTTATATTAAAATAGTTTACACGAACAAAGAAAAAATTAAACAATAAATGGATGATATAAAGACATTAAAAATAAAAATAATCTTAACCTAACAAATGTATAAAATTAACAAATTTAAAATACAGTCATAATTATAGAGAAGAGCATATAATTTTATGATTATTCCTTTACATACAATTGGATCGTTCAATTTTGCTCAAATTTAGTGTAAGTAAGAAAATAATGAACAGAAAAAAAAAATGTTAATGTTCTTAAAAATATTTTTGTGATTTGAATAAGACTCCGCACCATGCAATAATTATTACATTCATCATGACAATTGTTTTTATAAAATGCATAATATGTTTAGTTTACGTCCAAAAAATTTTAAAACTAAATAACTGTCATAGATGGTAAAAAAATTAAATTGATTTCTTATAGAAGTCTTAAATGTAAAGTGAGACGTTTTTGTAGAGATTTTAGCAAAAACACTATTATGTTGCGAGTTACCTCTAATTGTACTATAATAACAGAATTGAAAGGATAAAACGTGAAATGACGTCAATGATTAGCTAAGAGTAAGCTAATAAAAGATTTAAAAAGGTTTTTTGCTTTGAATCAAGTGTTAACATTTAGGTCTTGTTCGCGAAATCGCTTCGCGAAATCGCTTCGCGAAATCGCTTCGCGAAATCGCTTCGCGAATTTCAGAATGCAATATACGACGCAGTTATCATATAAAGTTTATAACATGTTAAAGTCAGAACTTTTAAATTTTCCGTTTAGATTACACGAACATTTTCTTTTTAACATTTTTACAGTCGATTGTTTACAAATATTTTGGACTTGCCTTTCGGGATGTTAGCAAAGTGAAGTAAACATATTATGTGAATCAAATTTTTTAGAAACAGACATCCTTACCAACATAAATTAGATAATATCATATTTATGATTTGATTTTCAAACATCTAAGATTATTTAACACTTTCGGTGGAGTGGCATGATTTTTTTCTATTAATTTTTATAGGCGGTTCATCAAACATTCATGGTATATTTCGAAAATGCCTTCAAAATGCTCGATCGGTTTACAAATTCCCTTTTAATTTGATACAATGACATTTGAATATACTCGATTTTGAATAGATACTCCTTAGTGTAATACTTGAGTAAAAAGTAAAATTTGGTGCAATATTAAAAACTAATAGTTTGCTATTAGTTTAAGGCCAAGTGTGAGTCGGACTCGCGCACGAAGGGTACCGTACCATTCTCTATAAGAACGGCGCAAAAATCATGTCTGTTGTATGGGAGCCCCACTTAATTTTTTTTTAAGAACGATAACAACGGATGGGTTGTAGATACGTTGCAGCCCGTCATTTGTCCAGATTTCCAATAAAGACACGAAATTATGCAAGTACGTACATACACAGAATCAGTAAAGTAAAGTAAAAGTAAAATATACTTTATTGTACACCATAGAAACATTACAGTATTTATAATTTAAAAAAAAAAACACACGGGTACAACAGGCGGTCTTATCGCTTAAACAGCGATCTCTTCCAGGCAACCTTAGGGCAGAGAAATTCCTTAAAAAGAAGAAAGTTGCAGGGGTGTACTAAATAAATATTAACAACAATTTACAAACATATAATTACATAATATTATATACATATAACCAGAAAATAATATATAATGGACGACAGATAGAAGATTAAGTGGAAAGGTAATGAAATTTTAATTTATTTTTAAAAATGTTAAGAGATTTAGATTGTTTAATATCTAAGGGGGAGAGAATTCCAAAGACGTATAGCAGTAACAGTAAAAGAATTAGCATAGAAGGAAGAGGAGTGACTAGGAGTACTAAGCAGAAAATTATTTTGAGAACGAAGAGAAAAACACTATGTGGGAATTCTATCTTAACCCCAAAACCGAGACGAAACACACAGAAAAGACGTTGAATGAAAAGTTGGAGCACCTGAAATATTCCTAAGAAATCGATATCCATTTAAATTATCCCATAAAATTATTAACTAGACATTTATTGTAGACACAGTAATCATTGTTTGAAGTTGCAATATGAGTAATATGTTCTGGTATGAGGCCCCGCGAAGGCAGAGTGCCCACTGGTGTCATGGTCACTCATGCGGAGGACGGGGACAAAAGTCCTTTCGTGGTGTGCCCCGGCCCCGTAGGGTCGGGGTAGCCGTGGCTGGGTTGCAGCAGAATCGCTTTAGCGGGCCCTGCAACTCAGCATTATTTAAAATTTAAAATTGTGAATGCATTGCTTCAAATGCTAAAAAAAATTTAGATAAAAGACGTTGAGATTTTCATCAGTATGGCAATCAGCCGTTTAGCTTAGTGTCTAAAGCGTCAAGACGTGAATGAGATGGCTTCGATTCACACAACGGCGTAAAACTTTTCGTACATTTTTCTACAAATTTTAACAGTGAATGCTACAAAAATTACACTTATTGTCATCGCTATGGTTGGAATAAACAAAAGTTCCGAACATGTTCTAAATGCCGTAATGATGACTTTTAAAAAAAGAATATAGTTCCGTTTCAACAGCTTTTAGTTATTTTAATTTTTTTGTCCAATCAAAGGCTTTGATTTATAATGATTATAGACAAAAAAAATCTTTGAGCCATCGATGATCCTTATCGATGCGAGTATAGTAATAGAAATGAAATTGGAGTGTCTGTTTGTAATATTAAAATAACCGCATTTTACTAAATGCATATGGATGTATACATGGTACATATATCAAAATAATATTTTTAAAATTTTTGTCTGTCTGTCTGTCTGGTTGTTCCGGCTAATCTCTGAAACGGCTGGCCCTATTTGAATGGGGCATTCACTGGAAGATAGCTGATGTAATAAGGAGTAACTTATGCTACTTTTATTTTAGATTTTTCTTTATTTTAAATTCCACCCGGACGAAGTCGCGGGCACAGCTAGTATATAAATAAAAATTACTATTTGTTTATTTGTTCGTATTTTATGTGCATAGTTTCATTTACTAATGTGTAATCGTTTTATTCCCGTTATTTTTTAAGTCAGCCCGGGTTGCCGTTAGTTTT